CACCTCAACCGAACAAGACCATGACATGCATCACGTGCTACTCGTTCCGAATACAATTCCTCGAAAGTGACACGAAATCTCAGTGAAGTCTTAGAATAAAGTCCAGAATCCTTACAGGTCTCAAACTCGGCCAATGCTGCGGACGTTCGTTCTGTTGCTAATTGTTGCTCTAGCCGCCGCATTTGACTCATCCGAGCTCCGAACGCTCGAAGATGAATGTAAGTTTAAAATCTCAGTTTTCATAGAAATGTCTAGGATACAATCACGTTGAGATTTTGTTGTTGTATACCGCGAAGAATATCTAAACTCGGTGGGTGTTGAGTTTTCTGGCCTTTTTCCATAATAGTCTGATCACTCTGTGGATTTCCGTTTCTAATTCGAATAGGGCGCTTTCCGCCAGCGGGGAAAATTTTTGCGAAAAGTATCTCCCAGAACTTTCGCTCTGCTACAATCTTCTTCCCCACTTCCCACCTTTTTCCCCTTAGCTATCCTGAAATATCCTTACCTTTCTCCCCCAAAAACCGAATTGGAGCGGAAGGGGAGTTGGGAGGCTTGGTATCACTCATTTTGAATAAAGAAAACCGAGAAAAGTCAGCAACCGAGAATATTTTTCTCGTCAAATACGCCCTGCTATCTCCCTCTAGCGAGCAATCACGACCCCCTTAGTTGGGATCCCTGACGTAAAACGAGCCCTGATTTCAAAAAGTTGAGATGTGGGCACCTAGGAACGTGAGCAAGCTAAAGATGCTGGTGGGCTTCTGGGATCATTGCAGGATTCCCATTGGTGCTGGTTGTGTTCTGGGGGGGGGGGAAGAGTCCATCGAAAGTTTGTTTCAGAAACCTCACTCATACTAACGATTTTATGCATTCAAAAGCATATTTCACGTTCATATCATGGGCGGAGCCGAGTCTATACGCTTATACCCACTTTTACCCATTTTTCAAGATCTTATGACATAGGCGTGTTACAGTAAGGAAGAGATAACACTATTTGCAAAAAACTTGACTTATAGGCAAATCTTCAGTCTTAATCTCCCCCCTCCCCATCTCGAACTGTCTTTCCGGGCGAGTGTGCTATGCGCTAGGACTTACCACCTTCAGCATGTCGGCTTTTGTACCATGACCTTAGAGAACCCACATGTTTAACATGGGCCTTAAACATCATAATGAAACAACTAGGTTCAGCTCCGCCTACGCAATCCGCACGGAATATCTTTTGGAACAGATCAGTGGACTGCTTTTATTACGTTGCACTATTTCCTAATATTGAATTCAGAACCTGTGCACTTTTGCCCCTTTCCTTAAAGCTGAAGTACATAGAATGCTTGCACCGTGTCGTAAATTAATTGCCATGGGGAAAACGTTAACAAATGTAAAGATTAGAAAGTACAGATCACTTCCTGAACGTTGAGCGCGTAATGGCGACTATAGGTAATGTAATAGGGTCTTATTTGGGTCTCAAAACCCTGCTCACCAGCGATTTTGTAACAATTTAAAGGGACAATGTTTTTTCGTTTCTTTCCTTGCCACCAGTTTCTATACCGATTCACGCTCCTCATCAGAGCAGAGGGGATCCTTAACGAACTGCTTTGATGACGGTCTTATTCGGTCGGAGAGGGTAAGAAGAGCGTATTTATCTCTGTGGAATAACGGTCTCAGTTTGTAAGCCTTTCTCGGTTTTCCTCACCCTCCCCCCCTCGCTCAAGTGGGCACGTTTTCTCAGGGACAGAACTAACCAAGAAGCTAATGTTTCTTTGAAGAAAAGTGGATCGGGAATTGGACAATGTAGCGAGGTAAAGAGCGTGTTTGACGGACGGACAGAGAAAGTGGAAATTTTCCGAAAGGGTGGTGGCGTATTTTGCAGAAAGTTTTTTCCCAAGCGTCGAAATCTGCCTCTACGTCCACATACCGACCATACGCTAAGAGGCAGTGCCGAGGATCAGCTTCTGTCCCGCGAGCTGGATCTGCACTCCTTGCTGGTGGCAAATGGACTATTCGCAGGTCTATTCCTTTTCTCTGAAAGGATATAACGCTGGACTCGCGCATGCGCTGGTATTGCCTGACTCAGTTGTTCGTCCTCAGGGCACTTTTGTCAGCTAGGGTTTAGCCCCTCTCTCTTCTTCCCTTCCTTCATTGATCCCTATCCTCCTTTTACTTCCTGCCTTCGCTAATTGGACTAGTGATCCTCGTGGAAAAGCTCTGGACCCATCGGCAGGCATAGCAGCACTCTGGTTGAGAACAGCCCCGTAACCTACAGACGTTAGCGTTGTAGGCGACGTTCCGTCAGAAGCCGCCTTTTTTTTAAGGATGTAGATACGCGGCGGTATCCTCAGAGGAACTGCAGTCGTGGTCTTTCCCCTTTACTTGCTGATTTGATATTCCTCACTACGGCCAAGAACAAACTCTATCGTCAGTTGATCTGATCCTTTCAAATGGGCACTGGTTTGACATCTACTTCCTTCGGAATTGATAGTATCTTACTAGGGATACGAATGTGGACATGAACAGTGGCATCCAGGTCCAGCTGATGTACAGAGGCACTGCATAATATCTTCACGGGCGTTCTGGCATCCACATTCACAGGTCTTCGAAGGACAAAAAAGTTGGACCGCCTGAGGCGGGAGCGCTATGCGCCGTCGTAAACTCGTGGCACCCACCGCTATAATCACTTTCTGCCTCCTCAGTCTATGTAGCAAAATCAAGAGCTCTACTATGAATGCTACCCACCCATCTGAATTTCGTATACGTAGGATAAGCCTATCCCAAATGGTTTGCGCCTGCATAGGCCGGAAGATGTGTGCTTTCTCCTCCTGTGTGAAGCCTGGTTACGGAGGGACTGATCGACCTTGAGGATGTGAGCCTCGACGACTGTCAACTAAGATTGATCCGCTCTGAGGTTTTGTAAAATCGCAGCTGGTGGCTGCCATTCTTCAAACCTCCTCCTATTTCTGGGATCATTTACTCCATCTGAGCGATGCTGTAATGTGATCCATCAATTACTCTTCACATAGGTTCATTTTTCTTAGTGGTTTCAAGTGCTTCTCAAGGGTTCATGGACGCATTACCACCGCATGATGTCATTGGTCTTTCCAGAAGCACCTACTGTATCCAGTATTAAAACCATTGTTAAAAATCTCATTAGGTCTCCATTACTCTCTGATGGGGCTTCCAAGAATACTGCACAAATAGCACGTCTATTAATCAAGCGAAAGAATGGGTTCCAGAGTAAAAATAGCGCCAGATCCATTGAACCCGACAAACAGTCAAAAAGCTATAATTAGTCTTTGTGGGCGCAACGAGTCCATTTTGGGAGCGGGGTATTCTAAAAAGTCCTGACGTTACACGGAGAGGTCGGTTGCAACTTGAACACGCTTATTCCGGCTTGGTGGGGGCAGCAAATGATACAGTACAGTACGTGTAGTACAAGCCATCTTGCGAAGACCTGCGAATTCTTGCCAAAGTGGCTCTCTTGTACCGTCTAGGTTCACCTGAGTTCATATGTCTCAGTGAATTGGAGTCCATCACATGGCATGAACTACCAGAAGGAACTAACGAAAGTGCAAAATGCCCCTCCCAAGCCGAACAGCTTCTTTACGCAATGTGATGCACAGTCGGCTAGAAAGAAATCAAGCTTGCCATGTTACACTGATCAGATGGTCCGTGCTCGTAGTGCGACTGTCCTGCGTTTGTGCGCAGTGCGATGGTCCTGATAGTTGAGAGGGCCCATCAGAACTGCCTTGCTCCGTCTGGTCCCCCCCCTGTTTTCATGAATGGTGTTTACCTTTCGAGACCTTTGAGCTCCCACAGCTAACGAATGGCCCTGAATAGCCCCTATACAGTCGCCATAACGATTCCAGTGGAAGGAAAATGAGGTGCAATGCTGGTAGCCACGCCTTTTAACTTCGAGTCATCTTTGCTAGTAATTTCGCAGAAAATTAAATCAATAGTGATTACATTAATATAACTTTGTTTCCATGTTTACCCCTGAACCTGCACACTCGTCGTTGTGGGCTCAAAAACAGCCTCAGGCTCCGAGATTTCCACGGGATTTCAGATAATGGCTTTCATGCTAGCAAAGCTTTTGCAACGTAAAGTTTAGAGGAGCTGTGAGTAGGGGACAATCATTGGGGGGCGGTTTAGGGAGAATTGGTTCGGAGGCTGGTCCTCAACGACCGCCCCGACTACTACCCCTCTTCAGTTCCGCAGGTCAGATCCTCTGAGCTGTATCGCGAGGCGAAATCGCCGGAGCAAAGTAGCAGCATCCCACCCCCCCTCATCTTAACCGCTTTTTTGTTACTTTACCTCAAATTTCCTTAACACTTCTTACCAGGAATTTGAAACTCCTTCTTTACGCTTTTTCTCCTGGCACACTGCAGCAGGCCATAGGACCCACTTCAAAGCTTTCCTGGTATTTACCCTATCTCCACATTCCCAATACAATCCACCCTAAACTTTTCTCAGAAAAATTCTTGCCGTTATTCCGTCCATATCGAACAACTACCGAATCAACATAATGATCTGTATAGCTTATTGGCTGTGAAAGGGGAGCGGTGAGTGGAGGAAACCTCTGCAATCACTGAAAATTGCGCGAATCATCGACAACGGGGAAAATTTTTATTCTCGACAGCAATCGAAAAAGAGAACTTTCTTAAAGCCGGTGCGATTTGCGACATTATCAATCACAGTCCCCCCCCCCGCCCTCTCAAAATCGAGAACCTAAAGCAAATGCGACCGCACTCCCAAATGGGGAGTGCGTGAAAACTGGAGAAACCAGCCATCAAAAAAGGGCAATTTTGACTCTCCTCACCCTGCGACCTTCAAAAACTATTCCTAGTGGGCATTCTTCAGCGGCCACGTGCCCCAAAATGAGAATGAAATGTCAAAGCAACGGCAGGGCCCTGAACCTTCTTATACATGTACTGTTCCCTGAATTGTACTGAAATATCAGTGAAATATAGGTTTTCGTGCTGCACCAATCTTATCAGAGATTTTCAGATGCGATGGACAAACGAGTCGAGCCATTGTCTCGCGAGGAGCGCTCTTTTGAGGTGAGATATCCGTAAGAATTCAGAAAATTCTGTTTCTAGTCCTTGTACAGTGAAGGAAATCAATATTAATGAATCAGTACCACCAATTTCATGATCATTATTGGGTTCTTTATCACTAAGAAAAGTTGTCATATCTCAGAATTTTACCGGGTCTGGCGGGAAGCCTCAAGGAGGCCAGGTCTGGCGTGGCGCCAACCCAGTTTCCCCACTGCTTGTTGAAGCGGGGCAGGCGACAACAATTGGTTGAAAATGGGTTGTTGCAAACCCAGCCTCTGTAACGCCTCAGCGTTCGCAACAAGCAAAACTTTATGTGTATTTTGTTAAAGATTTGGAGGCTATGCACCACTATCCTTCCCTTTCTGAGGAGGGAGAGTAACCACTCCTTTTTATCCCATCGTAATCTAGAAGTTTCGAAATTAGGATTGTTTAGGAAGGTGCCAGTCCATTGATTCGATTCGGCAAACGAGACTTCGGCGGTGCACCACTCATCCGGTACTGTTTTGCAACTACCTATCTGATTTCGGTTTAATAATTTTATACTACCATCCGGCGCAGTTCGGCTTGGGGGGGCACCAAATGGTAGCAAGCGCGGCGCGTACAGATCACCGGGAAGACCTGCAAAATCCTGTGACTAATGTGGCTCACTTCTACCACTTCACAGCGCAAGAAGGGTTTTTTGGTCCGAACAAAGTGAGAGCTACCTGCTTGCTAAATGAACTGGCTAATGGA